CTCTCTCTCTCTCTCTCTCTCTCTCTCTCTCTCTCTCTCTCTCTCTCTCTCTAACTCACTATAGCGGAATAGTGAGTTTGATTTTGTGAATTAACAATAATAAATTGTAATTTGGCTACAGATTGCTCTATATATCGGTGAAATGTGTCGGTATTTATTATCGCAAACTCCCAAACCAGAGGACACCAGACATACCATACGGACAATGGTTGGCATCGGACTGAGGAAAGAGTATTGGAAACAATTTAAGACACGATTTGCCATAAATCGCGTCATTGAGTATTACAGCGCTTCCGAAGCCAACCTTTTTACCAGTAATTTATAAATTTTATATATACTCTCAATTATTAAATAATTTAGTTTCTATTAAACGAGTCAAACAATAATTATAAAAACTTAAATCTATATAATTTTAGTCAATTTTACAAACAAAGAGGGCGCGTGTGGTTTCATACCATGGTACTATTTGGGTTTAGTTAAACTGCTATATTCCGCGTCTATCATACGAGTAGATCCGATCACTTTAGAGCCGATCCGTAATTCAAAGGGTGTGTGCAAAAGCATACGCCCGGGCGGTGCGGGTGTGTTAGTCGGCATACATCGAGACAATGATGTGATCCGAGAATTCAAAGGCTATACCAACGAAGAGGAGACCAAAAAGAAGCTGATCCGTGACGTGCGATCACGCGGTGATTGCGGTTTTTTTACGGGCGATATGATCAGAATGGACCATTATGGTTATTTGTATTTTGTTGACCGTCTTGGTGATACTTTCCGATATAAAGGTAAGTTTTGTTATTAAGTTTTGATTGTTTTAATTATTTGAAAACTTTTTTTATTTAGGAGAAAACGTGTCGACAACAGATGTGGAGGCAGTGATTCAAAGCTGTCTTAATCTAAAAGACTGTATGGTTTTCGGCGTAACCGTCGGTCAGAGCGAAGGAAAGGCAGGAATGGCTGTAATTAACGCCAATCCAAATGAAATTGATTTACAAGAATTGGCGCAACAGTTGTCTCGACGGCTGCCCTCGTATGCGATCCCTTTGTTTATTAAACTGACCGCCGATATAGAGGTTACGGGAACTTTCAAACTCATTAAATACAAACTTCAAAACATGGGATTCACCCCTCAATCCAACGATGATTTCATCGCTGTTTACGACAAAAATATCAATTCATATAAACGGATGACAAATGAAATCTATGAATCCATACTAACGGGAGAAATGCAGATTTGAATTAATTAAAATAAATATTAAAATGAATTTTTATCTAATTTTTAATCTTATAGTTAATTGGTGTTATAATTAATTTAATTAATTAATAACTATTTAATTTGTTTTAAATAAATGATTACAATTTATTTATACAATATTTACTACATACTGTATTGACATCTAAATATCTATTAAATATATTGTTAGTTATTTCTATAAATAAACCTTCAAATGCAACAATAATTATTGGTCGTTGAAAATATTTATTAAAATCTATAATAATTGATTTCTTTTTTAGCAATACTTTTCCTGAAATCATTATTTTGTTAGTTTGTTAGGAAAATCACACAAATATAAATGCATTCATTTCCTTATAATATATAATTTATGTCTAATTTTCAATTCAGTAATTAAAGACCACATTATGTAAGCATTTATTGAAATTAAAATGTGTTTTTTGTGGTTTAAAATATAATTATTCAAAGCATTGACACTCTAGCTGTCAATCATTATAATTTAATTATAATTTTATTTAACTTTTTCTTTATTATGACTTATAAACAAAATCAATGTTTTAAAAACACATTTTATATAACAAACAATTTCTAGCAAATTGTGACTAATAATTAATAATTTTATAATTTTCATTATAATATTAATTATTTAAATAATAAATTATAATTAATTTATAACCAAATATTAATTACTACAATTGAGCAATATTTTATAAATTATTACCTAATATTTTATCATTATTGATTATATTGAAACAACATAAATAATTTATATTTAAAAATTTTTAGCATTAAAAATTATTATGGTCAAAATAATTACCAATAATTATTTTGCATTTTACCCTATCACATGTCCTTATTCAATATCTACGTGCACATTCAGTGATGTTTAATAGGGTACTTAAAATATTCAATGTCTTCAATAAAGTAATATTGTTATAATATCCTTGTTTTAACAAATTTAATTCAGCATCATTTCATATTATTGCAAAACCATATTATTAACGTTATATACTTATGGACACAATTAAATCTAAATATAACTAACTTGTTTCAAATGCTAACACGAGTTACTTCTAATACTCTTATGGACTTTAATCGCTTAAATAAGAGCTGCAATACTATATGGAATACTTTAAGAGCAATTACATAATGGTTTGATTTGTAAACCAATTAATAAAGCATCTAGCTCTATCTCTCATACGTACAGTGCAAACTGTACTAATATATTTCTATTATTTTAATATTATCTTAATGCAATTTTCCATAATCTTGACAAGTTTTATAAATTCTTTTTATTCTTTGTATAAATTTTTGTTATAACTTATAAGTTTTAACAATTTATTAATTAATCATGTTAATATTTCTATCGTGTAATTGAAAGATTTTTCTGATTTTAATATTTCACTTTATTAGCAATATAATGATAAATTAATATTTGTAAAATTGATTTTAAGCAAACTTCACATTGTTATTAGTTGTGAAATATAATTATAATAAATAAACTGATTAATATCTTTTAAAATAATGATAAATCTATATTATAAATCGGGAATTGATTAAAATAAAAGTAAATAATAATATTTGATTTAAATCATTATTTTAAAAAATTGTTATTTAATATAAATTTTTTTTAAATGTCATAACAAATGTCATAAATAATATTCTTTGAATACTTTTAAATAATACACAATCTTTAAACGGTTCATATTATTGACAAAATGGGGTTATCTTTGATTTCAATAATAATTTATTATTTACCAAAAACTGCGAAAATGTATTTTATTTGTAATAATGCTAACATTTAAAATAACAAATAATTTATAAAATAACATTTTTGTAAAAGTAATATTGATATATTGTGAAAGTAAGATACTTTTGACAGTATTATAATACTTATAAATTATAAGTTATAATACTATTATGAATGGCATTTATAATTATCTCAAACACTTTATCAGCAATTTTAGGGCAAATTCTCTATTAATTTATAATCCTAATAGAGATCAAAATAACATTTTATATTTCATTGTATAATATTTTATAAAAGTAATGATAGTTATAATCATTAAAAGGTTCTAAAACCGACCATATTCGAACATATCAATAGATAACCTGAAAAAAGATTGCGCAAGGCAATATTTGAAAAGTCAGGTTAATATGTTTTTTATAAATTTTTTGTTATAAACTTAAAAATATTAATTAATGTCTAATATTTTAATCTTAATAACAAATATAATGCGATTAAAATTTAATATTAGACATAATGTTAAATTAAAAACAATGAAAATGTAGGCGACATTTGATGTCAATAAACAATAAATAGGGTGAAAGAGAGGGCAATATTTATATTCATTAATCTATTTTAAGATACATATTGTTGTCTACAGAGAATCGTTCAGATAATACTGTTAGACAACCAAATATCAGACACTATTTCTTGTTTGAGAGACACGTCTGACCCCCTCCTCCCCTCCGCGTCCATCGAATCGTATTTTCAATTTTTACTATTTGTACATAAGTTTGTAAATTTTATTTAAAATTTTTTACCAAAACAAACATGAATTTAATTTTAGAAATACAGTATAATTTTATAAACAGTGAGCTCACACAGTCTCTCTCTCTCTTTCTCTCTCTCTCTCT